CTGGGATTACAGGCAAAAGCCACCACACCTGGCTAATGTGTCTATCGATGAAACAATAACACAGTCCACTTTCATCAGTATTTTCCTTAATAGTTCTGGTTTGTTGCCTTCTATGTGAAACATCCTTCCCTGTCCCACAGCCGTGAATATAGTGCTCTTTATTTTCTCCTAGAAATTTGCATTTTACTTTTCATATTTAAGTCTACAATCCACCTACAATTGATTGCTTAGTAAGATGTGAGGTATAGGAGAAGTTTCATTTTTTTCCCTCATGTATGAATATCCAGTTGCTCCAGTATCATTTATTGAAAAGACTATCCTTCTCTACTGTTTTATATGTCATTTTGATAAATAATCATTGCTTGTTTCGAATTCTCTTTTCTGTTCATGCTGGTTCTTGTGCCAGTACCACAGTGTGCAGCTATGGGTGGTTTTGAAATCTGGTTGTTTAAATCTTCCAACTCTGTTCTTTCAGATTGTCTTAGCTGTACTTGGCCCTCTGCCTTTGCATTTAAATTTCAATAGTAGTTTCCCAGTTTCCTCAACAATAGCAAAAAAATCCTGCTGGCATTTTGAATTGCTTTTGAATTGAATCTATAGATCAATTTGGGGAGGGTTAACATCTTAAAATGATGAGCCTTTTAATCTGTGAACTAGTCTATCCCCATTTGTTCAGCTCTTCTTCAGTTACTCTCAGAAAATATGGAGTTTTGAGATCTTGCACACCTTCCATTGGGTTTATTGCTTAGGTTTTGAATGTTTTGTATGCTAATGTAAATGTTGTCCCTTTAAGAATTTCAATTTTCTAATTGTTTATTATCAGATATGGAAATGTGATTGATTTTGGTACATTGAGACTCAAGGGTCTTGCTAAGATTAAATCTACTTATTACTTCTAATAGTTTTTTAGGAGATTCTTTAGAACATTTTTTATGTCCTGTTTATGGCATGTGCAAATAATTAGAATTGGATTTGTTTTTTGTACAGATCTTATAAAACTTTCATCTTTTTCTTCCTGCTTTGTGGCACTGGCTAGGGCATCTGATATAAAGTCGTACGGAAATGGTGACAGCAGGCTCTCTTTTTCGCTTTTAATCTCAAAAGGAAAGTTTTCAATATGTCATTATTAAATATAATGTTTACTGTAGGTTTTCATTTTTACCTGGTTAAAAGTTTCCCCTTTTTTCCCCTAGTTTATTAAGAATTTTTTGTTTTCAATGGATATTGAGTTATTATCAAATGCTTTTTATGGATTTATTGAAATAACTATATGGGTTTGTTTTGTTATACGGAGAATTATGTTGTTCTGTTTTCAAATGTTAAAACAACCTTGTGTTCATGGTAAGCTTGGTGGTTATCTATTGCTCTTTTTATACAGAAGCTGCCCAAAAATGCATACATATTTTAAGAAAGAAAAAAATGGTATTAAAATTGTAATATTCAGGATATACCGATAACATTTGTTATCCTATATATTATATCTTATATCTCTTGTAATTGCAGAAGTCAAATATGACTTCAGTGTTACAATTTTAACACAGTTTTTCCCTTTCTTAAAATGTGTACATGTATACATTTTTTGGTACCCTCTGTAGCTGTTTGCTAACATTTTGTCTATGATTATTGTATCTGTATTTGTAAAAGAGGTAGGTTAGAAATTTTCCTTTCTTATAATGTTAATGCTGAGGCTATATTGCAGCGGCTATGCTGGCCCCATAAACTAGGAAGGGATGTTTCCCTTTTTCTGCCCTCTGGAAGAGTCCGTGTAAGATTGTTGTTGCTTCTTTCTAAAATATTGAAAGAGGCCAGGCATGGTGGCTCGGGCCTGCAACCCAGCCCTGGGAGGGCAAGGTAGGTGGATTGCTTGAGCTTAAGAGTTTGAGACCAGCCTGAGCAAGAGTGAGATTCTGTCTCCACTAAAAATAGAAAGACTAGCCGGGCATCATGGTGGGCATAGAATTCTAGACTGACTGTGCTTCCCATACCTCAGAAATGCACTGCATTGTCTTCTGGCTTCCATTGTTTTCTGTTGCAGATCATCTTATTGTTGCTCTTTTAAAATAATGTTTTTATTCTCTAGCTGCTCTGTCTTCAGTTTTCCAATGGTTTTATTATAATACTGTGGCATCATTTTTTTCCCTTTTGTATATCCTGCTTGGTATTCATACAGGCTTTCAATCTGTGACTTGATGTGTTCAGTTTTGAAAAAATTTTGGCTTTTGCCTCTTTTCAAATCTAAGCGAATGTGGATTACCTGGTTCTTTCTCTGTGTCCTTTCCTTCCAGGGCTCTTTCATTCTGAGGCTCCAATTACACGTATCTCCTATGTGCTTTAGTTGCTTACTACTCCTATATTTTCCCCTCTTTTTTGTTCTTTGTATTTCAGTGTAGAAATTGTCTACTGATGTATCTTCCATTTCTTTAACTTTTTCAGGTATCTGAAGTTCATTAAGTCTCTGAAGTTTTAATTGTAGTGATTTTTTTTTTTAGTGATTGTGTTTTTCGGTTATTCAGTCCTTAAGATTCAAGTTTTCGCATGAAATTTTCATATTGCCATTTTTTCCCCTGAACATAGTGGTCACACAATTGTGAAGTCCATCACCAGTAACTCCTGTGTTTTGGTCATCTTTAAACTTGTCTCTATTGTCTTTTATTCCTCCTTGTCCCTTTCCATGGTATATCTGGTCATTTGATTGAGTGATAGACATTTTGTATAAAAAATCATAAAGGTTTTGAATGAAGCTGTCTTCTTCCAGGGAGGAGTCACCCTGTATTCTGGTAGGCAGGTAGGATAATAAGGATAATAAGGATCAATCAAATCAATTCACATAAGGACTAAGCTAACTTGAAGCAGGACTGCAGTCTTTAAGGCTCAGTCTACCACTGGTTCACCTCCACTCTTCAAGGGTAGCTCTCCCAGGGGTCCCCCTAAGAACCTGTAGTATTTGTTAGCACCCCTTTTCCTTGGTGGATCCTGAACTCCGGTGTTGTTTCCTTAGTATCGTGAGATGTTAAATTGTTCTCTGCCTCCAGCTTAGCTTCTTTGCCTCTCCCTTGCATAGCAGAAGAATTTAGAGATTGCTCACAGGGAAGACTGCTGAGTGACAGGCTGCCTTCTTTATCCTTTGTCCCAAATCCTGCAGCCTTTTAAGTCCTGGTTACATTGTTAACCCGAAATTTAATTTTTCTACCCAGCCTCATTAAATTGCTGCAACTTCTACTGGCTTCTCTGACTCTCTCTTTTTTCTGTGTTTGTTGTTGTTTTTGTTGTTGAGACAAAGTCTCACTCTGTTGTCCTGGGATAGAGTGCTGTGGTGTCATAGCTCACTGCAACCTCAAATTCTTGGGCTTAGCGATCCTCTTGCCTCAGGTTCCCTAGTAGCTGGGACTACAGGTACCTGTCACCATGCCCAGCTAGTTTTTCTTTCTTTCATTTTTTTTTATAATTTTATTTATTAATTTTTTGCAGTTTTGGGGCAGGGCCGGGTTTGAACCTGCCACCTCCAGTATATGGAGCCAGCACCCTACTCCTTTGAGCCACAGGTGCTGCCCTAGTTTTTCTATTTTTAGTAGAGATGGGGGCTCAAGCTCCTGCTCAACTGGTCTCCTAATTTCAAGCAATCCTCCCGTCTTGGCCTCCCAAAGCTCTAGGATTATAGGTGTGAGCCACCTCGCCTGGCTTTCTCCAACTCGTAATAACCACTGTTTGCCCTACTCTTTTTTCTTCATTAAGAATTGGCAAATGTCCCAAAGGTAAAGCAGCAAGTTCCCTTCAGGGAGTTTCCCTTATGTCTGCAGTGTTGGCCTCTTGAGGCTTGACCCAGATTTGGAAGCCCTGAGCCAGACGTGCTTTTGTATTTTACCTGTTTTTTCAAGTTCTTGTCAGTGGGAGTATTTGCCTGTTTTAAGCTACTTTATCCTAGATAGAAGCAGAAATCACCTGTTTTTTTTCTCTTTAACCACCAATATTAGTTACTCACTGTGACAAATTCAGATAACTTTTAAGAATATAAAATAAATCCCATGATTGCATTAATGTACACAGCTATTATTTAATTAGGAAAAGAATGTAAAATAAATCATGACAGGTACCCCATCTTCCAATCCTGTCCCCTAGAGATTTATCTCTGTTCGTGGTTTTATTATTCCAAACTTCTGGTGTGCTGATCTAACTATTCCTTCTCATAACTGTGCAACCTTTAGCCATCATTTGACTTCCCTGTGCCTCTGTTTCTTCCTCACTAAAATGTTTATAATATAAGACGCTGCCTCAAAGGCTTGTTTTGAAGACTGAATTAGATAATCCATTATATAATTATTAATAGTTATCAGAACAGTCCATGAAACACGGTAAGCCCTCCTCAGTAACTGTTAGCTGTTCTAGCTTTTGTTTTTATCCTCCAGTCATTTTGTTCAGGGTATTGCAGTAAGTGGAAATAATTTTTTCTTTCATTAAAGGAGAGACTATGTTTCTAAGTGTGTCGATTACGTCTTCAACATCTCTGTAAAGGCAGCATATGAAGAATTTCAGAGAGGATTTTATAAAGTACATGACAAGGAGATTATCAGTATTTTCCATCCTGACCAACTGAGGGACGTGATGCTTGGAAATACAGATTACGACTGGGAGACATTTGAAAAGGTACATTGTCATCATAAAAGCTAAGTTGATTAAATTCAGTTTTCCTTCCTATTTACTGATTTTTTTTTTTTTTTTTTTGCCTTTTCTCTAGAAGGCACAATATGAACAAGACTACAGCAGTTCTCATCCCACCATATTGATGTTTTGGGAGGCTTTCCACAAATTGAAACTTGAGGAAAAGAAAAAATTCCTTGGTAGGTATTACATCAAGTAATAGATCAGCTGTCTTGTATCTCTTTAATGGAACAACAATTTCATTGTGGTAAGTGACATTTGCCACAAATCAGAGTGTTAGAGATACTCCTAGTCCAATTGAATGTCCTCTGCGGCCCAACATCAAAAATCAAATGTTAATATAGGCAGTATTTTCCCCTGTGAGTTCATTTCTTCTTATTGCTTTTTTCTTTTT